TGGAATGAAAATATCTGAGCATCCTTCTAACTGCCCCATACTGTGTCCCCACCCTCCCCACCTTATAAACATTTTCTATTTTTATTAAAAGCACAAAATCCCATTTCGTGTCTATTAACCATGAATAATTGAATCATGACATTTGCATTATCCCATGTTTCCTTGGGTAAAAAAGAAAAGTAATTTCAAACCATTACAAGTGTGAGTATACTAAATGGTATACAACCCAAATAGAATGGCATAGTGAAATAAGACTATAGATCCACAAATGTAAGCACTGGCCTACTTTTAATTATTTACAAGTCTTGTAAATTGTTTTGCAGCTAAACCCAGTGACAGTTATTTTCTAGTGAATCGCAAAGCTGCTAAATCAGATGCTCCTTTATGTCCTTAACTGGTATCATGTGAGATTTTATGGAAAAGGGTTAACTTACCAAAAGTGGCTCACTCTCCTCTCTCTTGGGTTTGTGATGAACATTGGGCACCAAAAATCATGTACTAGCAAAACAAACTCAATTTTTTAATTTTGGTAGGAAAAAACCCTCAAATATGAAATCTACCCTCTTAACTTTTTAAGTGTTCAGTACAATATTAATTACAAGCACAGTGTTGTGTAGGGGTCTCTAGAACTTTCAGACTGCATAACTGGAACTCTACACTCACTGATCAGCAGCTCCTCCTTCCTCACCCCAGCCTCCGGCAACCACCTTTCTTACCTCTGCTTCTATGGCTCTGACTACTATGGATCCCTCAGATAAATAGAATCCAGGGCCATTCCACTGCAGAACACTCACAGCATGTATGTGTAATGATCATATGTAAGAATATATTAATTACTGAAAGAGGCTGAATTCCCACCAGATCTGCCATCAGTGGTTGAATAGTTTGGTATGGCATAGTCATGATTACTGAGCTTGTATTAATACAGAATAGTAAATATTTGTGAGATATAGAAATAAAACTTGAAATTAAAATAAATATTTTGAAATTACAGACATCATAGTATGGAAGAAAGGAAAACAGCTTTTATAGTCAGATGGACATAAATTTGATTCCCAATTTTGCTGCTTACACAAGTTGCTCTAATCAGCCAAATAAATATATCGAATCTTTTTAAATTTCACTTTTCTTTCTCTGAGAAATGTCTCTTGTAATATTTTTATAGAGTTTTGATAACAATTCAAAATAACATTGTGCATTATAAAGAGTAGAAAATAAATCAATAAAGTGTAGCTCTTTTATAATTATCAACAATAAATATGAATTCCTCAGATAATGTTTCTATTACTAGTTAGACTCTGCCTGGGCTGGGTCTTCAGTAAATATATACAGTAATATAAAAGCCCTAGTCTGTGATTAAAATCATGTTTTGACATGCTTTATGAGCTCTCTTTATATGGATTTTTGATAATATGCTTTCAAAATTATTGGCAGATCTCTTTGTACTTGAAGCTGGATAATGGAAAATGATTTATACAGTTTTATTGAATTTACAAGGGCTAGAGTAAGCCACGTTAATTATTGCTATGTCATTCTTGCAGGCTAGCAGGAACTGAGACAAAACATAAGCCAAACTAAATAGAATTAGCATTAAAATGACTCAAGCATGAAATATAATCAAATAGGTCCTGAAGTGTCTTATTTTTGTCAACAAAAAAATATCCTGCTTGTTTGCAAGCATTCATTTTAATTGCTTTCCCCTCATTTTCTGAAATATGAGAGGTGTTTTAGGTCCCTATCATATTTCTCAAGTAGCATTTTTGTTATTGACATTACAACCAACGCTGTCATACATAATTAATCTGACTTTTAAAACCAGGTGATGCTAGCTATAAAATCTTACAGGATGAATACCGAGTGCCCATCTCCCTAAAAAGTAATCATTTTTCTTTCCAGCTGTATATTATTAAATGTCAATGAGTTTTCTGATCAGTTCATTCTTTTTAGAGTATAAATTCTTTCTTCTAAACTCAGTGATTTGGGTTGAATTTAAAGAACATATTTACCCCAAAAGAGATATTTTACATGGGAATTCTGTCCGATTCCTGCTCAGTAGACCTTGGGTGAGCAGTAGTCAATATTTACCACGGACCTGTAACTGTGAGGAGAGAATCTAAAACATTAGAGGACAGCAGGAAAACATTCTAGAAAAAGAGAGAAGGAACAAAGTTTTGTAAGTAGAACTGTAGGGAAAGGGCAGAGACATAACGACTTGGGTCGAGTAGATGATAGATGTAGATTAGGGCTTCGCTTTGCTTGTGTGGCTGAGCTGAGAGGTGCCATGCGAGAAAGCTGATCCTGGATATCCGCCCGAGTTCAGCTCTTGTCATTCTTTACAGTGTGACAACGCTCTCAATGAATTTCTGTAAGCAAGAGACGAGATCGGCCAGCCTCGGGATGCTGGAATCACAGGCCGATTCCAGGAAATGTGGTTGGGCGAGGGCGGGTGTTTTCAGCAAGCGCGATAGCCTTTTGGCTCTAGTAGCTGTGAATTTGCTGAAATACTCCTGCTGTGCTTGACTGAAAGCTGGTGCCTGGACTACCCGTGTGCCCCCGTCACCCGGCTGCTCAGCTTCGTCCCCGGGTACCTCTGAATCCTGAAATGAGGCAAATGAATGGGTGATGCCTGGTGCAGGGCATTTTCCAGGAAACCCCGCCTTATGGCTGGCGTAACTTCTGTCATGTGGGTACCTGTGCCAAAGCAGTAACCAAATATTTTGGATATTACCCTTGGGGAATATATATTAGCTTGGACTTTTGAAAGAAAAAGGGCTTCAACATTAACAAAAGGTTGAAATGGGCTCTGACATGTGAGAATGGGACTAAAGGGACCCAAAGCAGAATTTTGTCTACTTTAGAGTTTGTGTGAAGTCCATTAAAACAGGTAATATCATGAAAATAAAGTTAAATTGGAAGCATTTCTCTATTCTTGAACTTAGATTACAATTATACTAAAAAGATAAAACATTTTTAATCTTTTTTACTCTTGTGCTGTCAGAGCCATTTACAAATACAATATGAATCTTTCCTTTAAAAAAAAACAAAACAAAGATATTGTATTTCCAGTCCGTTTTAAAATCAGTATTCCCCAACTCATCTCCTGTCACTTCCTGATTTACAAAGAAAAAATCCACAGCTCTTCAGAAAAATTAAATATATGACTATATCTGAACTTGATAGGCTCTCTCATGACAAGATCCCTTGGCACACCCTGCCTCCTCCTCTTGGAATATCTGTCACCTTTTGTTACACCAGTGACCCTTTCAGTCTCCAAGCTTTGTACCAGATGACATCCCCAATGCATATTCTATGCCTATATGATGTTTCCCCTAACGTAGGCATCTACAATTATATGCCAAGAATTATTTTAGGTGAGCGTATTTTTATAACTTTTATAAACTTTAAAAAGGAGGAGAGGAATGTCTCTGCCTTTGTAACATGCTTGTCACATTCCATGAGAAGAATATTGCTCCTAAAATATTTTCAAAGAAGATAATTATCTGAGTGAGCAATAACACTGATTTACCTTATTATTCTAAACAGTGAGTTTTAGGTGATTTTGGGATGAAAGATCCTTTTTCCTCCTAGTTATTTCTTATTTGTAGGTAATTGTATACTTTTTATATCTCTACTTACACTCCTGGATGATGGGGAATGGGTCAGTATGCAAGCTCTAATTCTATGACTTGAATTAACCACTTCTCAAGTAAAATACAGATGCCCCTCTGGAGAATGCCATTAAGTTAATTATAATGTATTTCATGATGATTGTATAGGCTTTTTTTCCCTTCATAATACACAAAAGTTAATTAGTAGATGCAGAAGATAGTAATTTTTCTGTCATAAAGTCTTGTTTTACTAATCTCAGAATAGTTTAAATTAACATTTAAAATGTATGTAGTAGATAGTATAAAAGGGAGCATGTTCTAAAGTATAGTGAGGTTAATGTGGAGTGATACAACTAACAACCGTGTCCTAAGTATTTTCTCATTTAACAAGGATTTTTTATCTTGTATTTTTTATCCTGTATCACAGACATATTATAAACAAAGTAGCATAATTTTATGGGGGATAAACTATGATTTATTCCCTTAGCCAACTGACATATAACAAGGAAGTTAACCCACAGAAACAAAGTTGATTAAGTTTCTAAAATAATAATACATAGCAAATTCTAAGTTGTAGGTACTATTCTAAGGGCCTTGGATGCCCATTTGACTGGTATACTCACAACAACCCTATGAGCAGGTGCCATTAATATCCTAATGTTACTGATGAGAAAACTGAAACACAGAGATAGTTGATCTGCCCCAAATCACATAGTGAGTGATATGTGGCCCAGAGCCGAGCAGTGTGGCTCCAGAGTCCTCCCAGCTAATTGCCAGACCCTCCTCCTGTTCCAGACGTAGGAGGACCCTTCCCTCAGAAATGATGACTGCAAGGGAAGCTCCAGATAACAAGAGGAGCTAGGACCGCACTTGGAAGAGTGATAAACTTTGGCTAGATGGAGATTATAAGTGTGTGACAGAGGGAAAAGGGAGGCGGCCATAAGGGAAGGAGTTACAAGAACACAGAAAGGGAGTTATAAAAATACAACATAGACTCAAGGGATCGTGAAGAAGGCACTAGGCTGGGTCGGAGCTCTGCTGCGATGCTGGAAAGGACGCCTGTGCCCACGGTGCTCTGCTGGCTGTTGTCACCTGGCACGTTGCATCGCCGCCTCTGTTAAAGCAATGCTCATCCCTCAGCTCGCTGTCCACACGCTGATTTCACACTCACGGTCGCCGTGTCGGCCTGGTACTGCTCTTGTGACGCTTTCTCCTCGCTGACCCCACCACTTTACTAAGATACCCCAGTGGCAGGAACTTACTTGCTACTCATGGGGGACTTTTTAGAAGAAAAATAAATGTGTATCATTTGAACACTAATAAAAACTTCCAGGTAAACGTTCTAGATAAGAATGTAAAATAACAGCAGCTCACCCATTGTTTTCTTTGCAGGCAAACCAGTGATGATAGTGACAGAGTATATGGAAAATGGCTCTTTAGATACATTTTTAAAGGTAAGATTTGAGGCAAGTTTAATTATTCAAAGCGTTATTTATATATTGTTATTTATATAATGCTATTGATGTTGAAGTTGACCCTCTTTAAAGCTAAATTTTAAAACAGACAGAAATACCTGGAGCCAGAATAATTTTTCTTTTCAGAAAACTTATACAAACTCAACTTATGTGTATCTACTGTTTTATTTATTTATATTCTGATTTGTCTGAAAAAAATAGAAGAAAGAGGAAAGCAAGGAAGAGAGGAACAGGAAGGAAAGGAGGGACGGAGGGAGGGAGGGAGATAAAAAGTAGGGAAGAAGGGGGAAAAAGGAAAGGAAAAAAAGAAGCTCGTACACATACTTAACTTTCTCAAAGTTTATATTATCAGGCAGAGCAAGGAAAAAATGTCTGGCAGGTCCGCACTAATTATCTACAGTAAGAGGTTAAATAGGCTTATAACCCACCTGAAGCCAGCCTCGCTTGGGCCGGTGGAGCCATCATATGGTAACAGACAATACCAGTCCTATATCGTCTGGTCTCGTGGGCTCAGAAAAAAATATATTCTTTTTTAATGTTCAAGTACCCAAATTTTAAATGATGGCAACTAATTTTATTAATAAATAGTTCGTGCTAGAAATATAGAAATGTAACACATTTGCAGGCCTGATTAAACCTGTAGGCTGGCAGTTTTTCATCTTCAATAATGATTATTGCTGTGGATTAGGAAAGGTGATAGGAAATGGCATTAATAACGATCATAAGAGGGGCCCGTGCGTTGAATATGACAGTGGTCCCTGACAAGGCAACCTTCCCTTCCACTCCCCAGCCTCCACCAGATTCTGTTGCCAAAATTCTTATACATATCTTCCAGTTCTCCAATCTCATAAGGTCACATCTTTTTTTTTCCCCCCCAAAAATAATCATCAGATGAGCCTTTGCCTGTGTGTCTGCATTAAGTTCAGTGCCCTGGACAGAGACAGCAAGCTTCCAACAAATGCTGGCCATTGCTCAGCCTCCCCCGCTCCCCCATCTGCTGCTGAAGAATATTTTCTCTCTCTCTCTCTCCTCTGGCCGTTTCATCTTTACAGCAACATGCCTGCCGAGCCAGCTTCTTTTAAAGCACCTCAGCAGTGTGCAGGGCTAACCCTAGGCAGACCCCAGGCTGAGTGAGGAGCACACTCCTCCGACCGAGAATAAAGGAGTTACAGTGCAGAGGAGGGCAATTAAACGAGATTTTCCAGAAGGCCTTTCAAAACCTTTATCTGCTTTGACTATGCAAAGAGCTGATAAGCGTTACCAAGTTAACTAACTATGTATTTCCCAACTTTTTCTGTTGTTCAGATAGAATTTGCCTATGAATTTGGTGATGGTATTAGTTTGGGACTGAAGGAAGACCCTTTCCTGTTTTCCCCCAGTGATTGATGTTGCTGGGCTAATATTTCTGCATCGTCTTCACAGAAAAACGATGGGCAGTTCACTGTGATTCAGCTTGTTGGCATGCTGAGAGGCATCGCTGCGGGAATGAAGTACCTCTCCGACATGGGCTACGTGCACAGAGACCTCGCGGCCAGAAACATCTTAATCAACAGTAACCTTGTGTGCAAAGTGTCTGACTTTGGACTTTCCAGGGTACTGGAAGATGATCCTGAGGCAGCCTACACCACACGGGTGAGATCTAACAGAATGCATTTCTGAAACACTAGACTAGAGGCATTTAATTTTTAAGGATTTTAAAGGAAATAGTTAAAAGGACATTTCTCCAACATAGGCAAAGAGAGAGGGAGTGTGGGGGAATAAAATATCCAGATGATGTGCCTTGCTAGATATCAGAAAGTTCAACTATTAAACTCAGGTAAGAAAATTATTCACCGTATGAGTCTCAATCATTTATTTTTTCCTATGGATGCTGAAAATAAGAAAGGTTCAAATTTAGAGTGGATACACAATGTAAAAATCATATAAAGTTTTAAATGTAAAAAATATTTAGAGAATATCCTATATTAGAAACAATAAATATGTTGTATATACATACACAGTATATATGAATGTACACATGTATAGCATTATTAGGTAGCTTAAACTCTCTGCAGTGTAGTATCTTGACCTGTAAAACAAATACATAAATATCTAAACCTATGTTTTAAGTATTCACATAGTATAGAATAAATGAACTATTCCTTCAAAAACTTTCAATTTCCTGAAGGTATATCTAATGTCTTTTCTTACATACTATGTAAACCGTTAAGCCCATATCTTTGGAAAGTTGGTCACTAACTTACATTGTAATTAGCATAAATTAATATTCCATTCCAGCAATGTAATTGGTTCCTGAATTGATAAGTTATATAATTGACCATTCTTTCTGTGGAATACTGTGAGTATTAGTACAGTGAGATTTTGGGGGCAATCTATATATTGTACCTCTTCAGTTTGTGTACTGTATGGTAAACTACATTTGTTTATCTTTACAATGTCATCAAGATCAATGTTTAAACTTCTTGTGAAGACAGGACTTTATCAGTGCATCTTTTCCACTCAGCAATTTGATTCACTTTGGTTCCCATACAAAAGAACACTTTTGTCATCTCTTATTTTTATGACAGATGTGTTACACATCTTCTTATTTAATTCAGCTTTTTAAAATTACTTCTACTCATAGTCTAACAGTACATTCATTCATAGATTATAAGGCTTTCTTTTTCAATGTTGTTTTGTGACTCAGTTTCTTAGAGACTCTATTATGCTGAAGATCAAGAGCAAGTTTTATAAGCAAACAAAGTCCTTTAATGGTCAGCTTAATCAATCAAAAGAATTGATGGCATATCAATCTTCTTTTTCTAGACTTAATTATCTCTGTCATTATTTGCATTAAATGAAATCTCAGTTAAGAATTCCCCTAGACTTAGTGCTATGTTACACTTAATAAACTTGGCCTACACAAGATTGCGGTTATAGGAAAGTCCATTCCCAGTATGATTATTTGATGTCCTAAACGCACAGAGTAGATTGTAAACGTGTGTGTCAACATGTTGTGCTGGGAGAGAGGGAGGCCCAGGGAAAGCAGAGATCCTGATACCATCAAAAATTATTTCTATGAAATGAGTTATAGTGGCAGTTTGTGGAAAATGCATAGCCTAAGAGGTAAAAAAATAAGGGAACTTCAGATAACACTGATGGCAAATTTGATGGTCAGAAGACCAAGAGAAAAATTCTAGGCTGAAGTTTAAAGTAATCCACAAACTGTAATTATAAGAGGTATAATGATAATATGTTGTAGAACGTCACAGATCTAACAGCCAGGGCTAATCGTGTGACCATACCTATGAATATTTAATTAACAGAAGTATGTTTCCGGAAAGTCTTTTGAAAGTGGCATCACCGTGTCTCCAAGAAACAAATAATCCAAATGGAGTTTGGATCGTTCAAATTAATGTCACCTCAGGGGTCTCAGGCATCACCTGATACTGTGATTTTTCTCCTATGTCTTCAAACTTTGGTGCATAAACAGCAGTTTAAGTTCCATTTTTCTGCTTTGAAGTACTTATTCCCTTCTTGCAAAATGGGGAGGCATATGCTAGTCTTTTTATGAGAAAATGTTCAAAACCTACACCTCTCTCCCCCCACCCCCACTTGATCGATTTAGTTAGTTAGTTTGCTTATAAATGAAATGTTTGGTTGCTTGGGGTTGCCTGCTTTTAAAAATTAAGAGGAAAAATGTTCACCCTTAAAAGGAGCAGGTTAAATGTTTATTTTGTGAACTAAGAGAAAAACCTACAGAAGCAATTTTTTTTTACCATGTTAAAAAAAATCTCAAACTTGATAATGGGGTAAGTTTTTCCCCATCATCTAATTAAAAATTTTTTTAAATGGTTGAATTAAATGAGAAACCTACTTCTTAGGTTAAAAAAACAAAAAATCCTATCCGGACAAATATTAAAGTATGCCAACAGAAAATAAGAGAAATCAAGTCTAAAAGAAATTGCACAATGTTAGGGGAAAGTATAGCTAAGTTTTTAATATATCTGATTTTCATGCTTGTCTTATTAACTGTTAAATTTCTCAGGCTTGCGTTCAGCAACTGAGACAACACTGACAATTCTCATAGAAGAGAAAAATAAAGCCCCGGGAAGCCGAGTGCTTTACTCTGGTGGAAAGTCACGAGAGTATACCTTACACCTCATCGATCTGCGCGACTGCTCGCGTCCCCCTTAGAGCTGCCACCCGGATACTGGAGTTGAGCGGCGCGTGCCGTGTGTGTTCCAGTCGTCAGACTGGATTTAAACCCGAAGCCTTCCAGACAGCCACTTAGTAATCAGTCCGCGAGCGCCTGTGGCCTGATAGGTGAAAAGAGACTACGGGATGGCAAAGACAGATTCCTTTAAAAGGGCCGCGCCTCTGTCTAGGCCTGTTCGGTGAGGCGGCACTGTCCCCGAATACATTCGACGTGTGTGAGAATTGTTTTATTGCTTTTCAATTTCAGGGAGGCAAAATTCCGATACGATGGACGGCGCCCGAAGCCATAGCTTTCCGAAAGTTCACCTCTGCCAGCGACGCGTGGAGCTACGGGATCGTGATGTGGGAGGTCGTGTCCTACGGGGAGAGACCCTACTGGGAGATGACCAACCAGGACGTAAGTACGGAGCTGCCCCTCGGCTTGGGGTGAAATGCTCCGCTCTCTGGACACTATAATAGTTTCATCTCTGAACATGGCAGTTGCTTAAAAAAATGGAACGCCTTGCTTACCCTCTGATCTGCTTTGCTGTTAAAATACCCTGTCTGCGGAAGCTCAAGACGCGTTAGCACACAGGAAAGCAAGTTACTGTCGTGTAAAAGCTCGGTCCCTTGCCGGCCAGTTCTAGCTGCACTGTCGTGTTGTTCCCCTCATTTTATGTCAGCATCGTTTTCAAAGATAAAGGAAGAGCCATCAAAGAATCAGCACTGACAGGCGAGGTTTCGTGATTTGCATTTGATAGAGGCAGCTACTACTCCAGTGCAAAAGGATGAATGATATTGGCTTCATAGTGGATGCTCTTAGAGGGGAAAAAGGAACAGTCTGTGTTTTTTTAAATAAAAAATAAAAAAAAGTAGGAAGAGTTGTATTGTCTGTTTAATTTAGGGAAAAAACAGATTTTTCCTCACATGGAAAAAAATAATTCATGCGTAGAATAATAGAATCTAGAATTAAAGGAACCATGATAGAATCTTCTAGTCAAGCTCAGAATGCTTATTACATGACACCTAACACATGGCTTTTGTGGCCTTTGCTTTTGTGATTTTCCATTGTTGCTATTCCATGAAGCCTTTTCTGTTTTGCGTCACCTTTAAATTTGATATGATGTCTGTCTAATGACAACAATTATAAAAGCAGCTAAACTTTACTGAGCCCTCACTATGTGCCATACACTGCCTCAAGTGCTTTACCAACTAATATCTTACTACTCCTTTATAAAACCAGTATATTGAAGTCTTACCTTAATAGCATGCTTTAAAACACTTTTCCCTCTAATTATTTCTTTCACCCATACTCTGCAATATCTCCTTCTCTTATGCCTTCTAGGGTTGGTAAGTGCTATATCTTTTGACCTCATTTTGTTGAAACAACAGTCCCGTGCCAGTGATTAAGACTCACTTTCAGATCTAAAAGTTCAAGTCCAATCTGAATGAAAGTCCGCACCAGACCCCTTTCAAAGTGTTTTCCACAACCAGGGGCCAGCCTCACCCTCGGTGCCCGAGTGGGAAGGAAGGATGGTCAGGTTTTTGCTGTTCCCCCTCCTCTGCCAAGGCCTGTGCCTGACTTTTCAGGATCTTCCCAGACGGAGAGGCAGAAAGGAAGGGGCGGGCACGTTTCTGTAAAGCTGGGTTGCTGGGGCCTCCCGCCGGCTAGGAAGCCAACCTTGTTCTCCAGCGAGGCTCGTGTCTGAGCTCTTCCACAGGCCCTTGGGGCGGCGCCCTGTCCCGAGGCCTCAGGAAGAGGGTGACCCCGCCCCACTTCTCCCGGCGCCTCTCCCTGCACCGGCTCCCACTCAGCCTCTCACTCACCGCACCCGTGACTGGCAGCCCTGCTGAAGCAGGAATGTTGGAGGCTCTCCCGGTGCGCGCTGTTTGGAAACTGCCGCAGGCCGGCCCGGCCAGCCGCCCTTACTCAGACCCCCCCAGGAGAGGAGCTAGGGCCGCACTGCAGCTTCCCCAAGGACGACAGCCGACCTCTGAGCCCTGCAGGCTTCCGGGGACCAAACCCCGCACCCTTGAAAACCCACATAGAACTTTTCATGCCCCCAAAACCTAATTACTCATGGCCTGCTATTGACTGGAAGCCTTATAGATAGCGTAGTAAATTAATACGTATTTTGTATGTTATATGTGTTATATACTATAGTCTTACAATAAAGTAAGCTACAAAAAAAATATTAAGAAAATCATAAGGGAGAGAATATACATGTAAAGTACTTAATGAAGAAAATTCACAGGTCAACGACTCATGCAGTTCAAACCTGTGTCGCTCAAGGGTCACCTACATCTCATAGCATCCTTCTCTGAGAGCAGTAGTAAGCTGGGCCGATGGATTCCTGCCTCTCAGCAAGTGTACAGCAAGACATCTAAAATCTCTCTGTAGTCATTTAAAATTGCCACAATTGGCTTTCTTTGTGCTATGTAGACTCACCTGATTTAAGAAGGGGCTGCAGACTTCTATTCCTTTAAATTTGAGAGAACGTAGTATCTGTTGTCCTCAACTTTATGATTTTAGGGGCAGGACTATGATAAAAGTATCATTGAACTCTTGGTATATATTTAACAAACCATCAGAGAGGTCCTATTATTACTATTTTGCAGTCAAGAAATTAAGACCTAGAGAGATTAAATGACTTTCTTAAGGTAACAAAAATTATTGTATCAGAAATTTCAATCTGATTCTACAAATTTTTTGTACCTAACCACCACCGTTTCTAATTAAATCAATGTCTCTTTCTTTTGTTTCCAGCCAGTGATCTTAGATCACCCTTCTAATTGAATATAAGATATTCAATTCAATATTTAATGATTATTCTGGATTGATCTAGTCTAGACAATGGTTAGACCTATGTGCTACTTTCTGTTCTCCAGATAAATGCCAAATGCTAATTTGAGCTACAGAGCTCTTCATGCTTTGGCTTCTGTCTTCTTTCAAGGCTCATTTCAATGCTATTTTTTTGTTGACATTTTGTGAAAATATTTTATTGTGTCTTGCTAACAAGCCTGGTCCCTTTACTTAAGAAAAACATTTGTCCCTTATTTGTCCCTTAGTTATCATCTCATAATTGAGATATTTTGAATTCTGAATCTGTCACTCAGAATTATTTGTATGTCCCAACTATATGTATAATATGCGCAGCATTGCCATCCATATTGTTGGCAGTTACACCTGAGATAGTTGTATCTGTCACAAATAAAATTATAGACCAAAGTAGAACATGGTGCCAGGTGAGAGGACTGTATAAAGATACAAGGGGAAGAACATAAGAACAAGGAGATGTGAGGAATTTGGGACATAGTTTTTTCCTGATTTCAGCCATTTGAGAGTCTTGATACTTTTCCAGATAACTTTATTTCAAAATATTTTTTAAAAATACAAGGAAATGCTAATGTAATAGTTTCAGAAAGTTATAAAAATAAGAACTAATATTTTGGCTTTGGCTGGGTTTCATTAGAATTTAAATGAGGTTTACAGAAAATGATTATACAGTTACACATCTTTCTAAAATGTTTGCCTTTACCAGACTGTCCAGCACGTGCTTTGTATTCCCTCAGCAAGTTTGAAATCATTAGTGGCACTTAGCTTTTAGATATAGCACTGACTTTGATAGGCTTCAGTTTCTATCTAAATTTGTATCCAGGAAACATGACAGATCTACTATATTTGAAAATCATGATTACTTAATATCTCTTTGGAAAAATTATCAGAGAACAAAGTAGAAGTACTGATTTAGCCGTTTCAAATGATATATTTAATAATCTCTACACTCCAGATACTATCTGATTCAAAAAGGACTTTGCCACCATGAAAATGTTATATTACCAAGACATGCAGAATCATCTCAGTCCTTCAAAGAAGACCTTTCACTGTGTCAGGGGAGAGAATGCTGCAGTAGGCTTCTTTTGATTTAGGATTGCCTGTGTCATCACAGAGAAAAATCATAACAATGCATAATAAATATAAGCCAGAATGACTAGAATGAATTAGGTAAATACCAGACCATGAACTCTCATTCAAGCTTGGGAGCTAAGATAATATCCTATCGTCAGTAGAAGCCTCTTTATTGATAACGAACATTTTAAATGTCAACATTTTTCAGAACTTCAAATGACAAAAAGAGATTTCATTGCATTGCATTTTTATACTTAGTGGCAGTGTTTTTCTCTTGTATTTATTGTGAAATATATGAACATATAGATTATACTAAGCACATAGATTATAAAGTGTTTTAATAATTCACTTAAGTAATTGTTTTTCAGTCTTCTCTCGTTAGAATTACTTTTGCCTTTTTTGCGGGTGGGGGCAGTTTTCTATTACTATTTCTGTTGGCCTTGATCTTACCTACAAAGAAGCAGAATATTTGACTCCAAAAGGGTGTCACCCCCCTTTGCACTGGGTGTGCCTCTCTTCTTTCTCTTATTTGTTTCAATTTTCAGAATAGATACAGGTGTAAATATAGGTATAATTATGTACATGTATATATGATTCCTCTTATATTGTTGAAATAGTTTATAGTAAAGCAAAGAGAATCTTTTACGGTGACACCGACTATAATTAACTAAAGTATGAGGCGTTTCATTCTCACCCAAGTACTGTAAATTACCAAGATTTGATAGTGAGAAAAGTGCCACTGTCCTTATCAGCAATGAGGAATCTATAGGCAAATTAATAAATGAACTTACATTAATATATGAGTGCAAATGGTACTTTTATTCTCTTGCTACTTTTTATTTAATATCATCAATGAGAATAACATTTTCTCCAAATTTATTTAACATTTTAAATTTTTCTTTTATGTTTTTTAATATTTCTCATTTATCTATTTCATTTTTCAATATGCATGAGCTTTAAATACATTAGCTATATTAATCATGTTATAGTTTTTCTACTATTTTCTACTGTAGTTTTCCTTTTTGTTTTTTAATTTGATTTTGAGCTGCTAACTAAAGTGGTAGGTGACTCTCAGGTACAGATAGTCTCTGACTTACAATGGTTTGACTTACAATTTTTAGCTTTATGATGGTGAAAAATGATAAATTACATGAGCTAGTCAACACTTTATTATAAAATGGGCTTTGTGTTAGATGATTTTGCCCAACTGTAGGCTAATGTAAGTGCTCTAAGCAGTTTTAAGGTAAGCTAGGCTAAGCTGTGACGTTCTATAGTGAATTTTCAACTTAATAGATTTTCAATTTACAATGGGTTTATTGGGACATAGCCCCAATGTAGGTGGAGGAGCATTTGTATTTTGCTCATAGTAATTCAATATTTATTTAACCACTTATTTTTAGATCCTCAACTATTTTTTATTTCTCTGCCTGAACTTAACTGTTGGTGCTTCTCAGAACCCTTTATCTTAAGCCTTTCCCAAGAAAGTGCTGAGTGCTGATGACCCTCACATCTGTATTATCAGCCCAAATATCTCTTGTGCTCTTTCTGCAAATTGCCATATGAATGTCCCCCCTTCATATAAAATAAAACTAGCGCAAATTATATCTGTCAACATCCATTACCCCATTTATGTACTTGCTTAAACTTAGCAGCAACAACTATGCAGCGTGATAAGCCTGAACTTGTTTTGTCTTGAATACTTTCTCTTGTCTCCCCCCAACCTCTTTGTCGTAAATTTCCTTAAATCTGCTATTTTATGCTCTTTCCATCTGTCACTGATCTTGTCCAAAGGACATTTCCTTTGTCACAGAGAGACTGGTTTCTTTGCAATCATTTAAAGTATGTTTGTAAATTTCCTGTTCTAATCATTGTATTTTTTTCCATTTGTCAGATCAAATCTAAAGTTTTTATGAAAAAATGTAGTTAATTTTCAATATTAAGGAAATATTCAGAATAGGATTTTAAGAAATATATTCATTATTACTGTGTTTTGGTATCACTGAAACGTTTAATTTTTAATAATTGAATAAAACCTGTATTATTATATTCAGTAGCATAAATAAATTTTTCCAGACTTAGACGTTACAAATGTTTTTGATAAAACAATCTCACAATTAGACTGATATTCATACGTGTGGTTACATTTAAAATCAGTGATGTTTGTAATGCCTCTGCTACTAGACAATTATTCTAAATTCATGACAGAAATCAGCAGATGATAATAAACAGCAAGACCTAGACATTATTAAATGATACACGAGATAGTTATACTAATTTAGCCTTTGACTTACCCATCATTTACCATCCAAAACTCTCTTTTGAAATAAAATTGCCATTTCATTACTTTCAAAAATGTGGTTCTGCTCATAAATTTTCATTAAAAAGACATTAACTTTTCAGAGAAATCACAAGATGTAATCTCGATTTGATTCCAGAATTCAAGGATAAATAAAACATGAACTGTTTATTTTTGTCAATTAATTTTACAAATCACCCTTCATCAGGATCTTAGGTAAAAGTGATTACCATTTATTTTCCTTACAGTATGTGAAGAAAACCTATCTTTTTATATTGTGAGAACATATTTATTTCTTTATGTTGTTTTATTTCACAGCAAATGGACGTAATTGGGGATTTTAGAGATAGTGAACCTGGGTGTTATTGCAAGAGTAAGCACAAGAAAGGGTAAAAGTTAAATAGGGGGAAATTTCTCCACTAAATGTGTGGTGTTGGGACCGGTTCTGTTTTTTTTACACAGGTGATTAAGGCAGTCGAGGAAGGCTACCGTCTGCCAAGCCCCATGGACTGTCCCGCTGCCCTCTACCAATTAATGCTGGATTGCTGGCAGAAAGACCGAAATAGCAGGCCCAAGTTCGACGAAATCGTGAACATGCTGGACAAGCTGATACGTAACCCAAGTAGCTTGAAGACGCTGGTTAATGCATCGAGCAGGTACAGGCCAGACCTGAGAGTTTTTCCTGAATTTAGCTAATTCTGGCTGATGACACAAATACTAAACCATTTCTGTGCACATGTGAACCTCTAAATCTATATGACACTAATTTATCTGCCTACAGTTTTTGCATAAAGTTACTTTCTTACAATGAATGAAATATAAGTGATTAGACCTAAAAACACCTATACCTAATCTAATACAGTAACATGACCATTTCAGAAAAATGCTAACTGTAGCCAAGTTCGGGTAGTATTATAAAAAACAGAAACCGAAAAAACACACACACTGAAGTGCATATATTTTCTTGTGTTTGGATCCCACATGGGAAGTGGCTGGGGAAGAAATAAGATTGTGAGACCACAAGGAAAAGCCAGTTAAGCACTGATATATTTTACACTAGAGAGAGCTACCAAAATTACTTTTGATTTCTTTAGAATAGATTTTAGTGTCTGTCATATTTTATGAATATTAATAATCCTTTTAGGGACCCTTGACTCATATCTAATTGTACACAGATATTTGGCTAAACAAATATGAGTAATTTTGTGGAAAGATTTTATATGAGCAAATAAGCATATTTTTTACTTTTATGAATGTATTTAAATAATGTTGCATGTTTATAAGGCAGACATTAACCTGAAAAGTTACAGAATTATCCTCTCAAAAAATTAATCAGTTTGATCCTTTGCTATAAAACTTGCAGATTGTTATTTTCACTGTATTTGAAGCAATTGTTTATTTTTACAAGAAAAAAAGTGTCATGCCAGGAACTGATTTGGCCACATATTAAAATGAGCTAAATGAGAGAAACAATTTGTTGATAAACTTCCATAAGTTCTATGATTGTGACATTTAAAAAAATCATTTTTAAATACAAATGAGGAATGAGTCTTCAGACTCTGTTCAGGGATCATTAACTTTCTCTGGCAGCAACTGGAGAATGCATCTTTTTAACAATTATTCCTTGTGTTGTTCCTGAAATATCTGCTTTTAAATTGTTTATTGTCATGTAAAATATTAAACATTTCTCTCATCTGTCTGTTTGAATTATGTCAAGCTTCCACAAATGGACATGAAGAAAGGAAATAAAAAAAGACATTTTTATGTTCTAAATTGTGTTAATTTATATCAGCATTATCATTACAGCTTGAGAGCAGTTTAAAAATCCGCAAAGAATTTTCACATTTTCTTGTGTGTAATATGTAGAATCAGCTTGCTAGGTTTCATTGAAACAGATTTGGCTTAAAACTATACCACTTATTACCCGTCTTTGTTCAGCCATCTACAAATCCTGACCTGAGAAGGTGTTAGTTCCTGATTCATTCTCTTTCTTTACATTCCTGTTCGTCACAAAACTCGGTGATTTCAGTAGCCATGTGCATGATGTTTGAATCTCTCTCAGTACCTTGAAATTTTCTCCTTTAGCAATTTTTGGTCTCTAAAATATCTTGGAATCTTCTTGTCCTAGTCACATTCTAAACTTTGCTATTAACAGAAATGGCAACTCTTCCACAACCTCAACTTCAAGATCCTACTCTCCAGCTGCTTCCTTCTGTTTCATCTTCAAGGAATCTTTGATCCCAATGCTTCATGGCTACAAATCACTATAAGATATCCATTTACTCGTGCCACAGATCCTCATGTGTCTACTCTGTGTCATGCTGTGAGCTAGGTGCTGAGTGTACAGCATTGAGCAACTCACTATTATGGGAGAGGGACACTGAACAAAATAAAAACATTAAATACAGCTTTGGTTTTGGAATGGAGAGTGAGAGTACAATTTAAGAGAATACCTGGGAGGCCAGAGGAGTTGTGTGGGTAAGACATGATGCTGTCTTGAACTAAGATGGTAACAAATGAGATAGAAAGAAGTGCTCAGATGTGCGACATTTGGGAGGTCAACTGGATAGTACACACAATGATAGATTATAAGGGAATCGAAGACAAGGGACAGCAAACCATTGTGTCATATGCAATAATGGGAGCACTTCAGGAGGAACTGGATGTAAAAAAGATGAGGATGTTTTTGGAAATGTTGGGGTAATATTCCTATGAGATATCTGGAGGTATGATGTAGGCACATGACTATATGAGAGACCTAGATGGGAGATAAAAATTGGGTAATTGTAGATTCTATTTGAAGCAAGAAATTAGGTAAAATTGTCTACGTAGAGTGGAGTGATAGCCTGAGCAGAAAAAGTATAAGGTCAAGTCATAGTTCCCTCCAGATTTTAAAGTCAGGAAAAGAAGGAATAATAGGCGAAGGAGAGTAAGAGGAAACCAGGAACATTCAATGTCATGTAGCCAAGAAAGTGAAAGAGGGATTCAAAAAGTGAGTAAGCGAGGGTTCGAGAGGGAGATGGTAGTGGTGGTTGTTGGGTGTTTCTGAGAGGTCAGTCACCTTACACTTTGGAAAATGTTCACAGATTTTGACAAAATAGAGGTCTTTGCTCACCTCAACCAGAGCAATTTTTATAGAATTGGTTTGGAAGAAACTGTACTGGGATAGTTTGAGATGTAAATCGGATATGAGAAAATAGAGCGAACATAACTAGAAAGAAAGATATCCTATATCTCATGGTTGAAATTTACTTAACTAAACACTCATCAACGGAAATTCAAATTGTTTTTAATGTTTAATCTCAATAGCAAAAAGATCATCCATGGACTCTTTGCCATTTCCCCCAATTATTTCCTTAAGATACATTTCCAAAAATGATTGTCATCATCATCATATTATTATCGTCCAAAGAGTATGAATTTAGTATAGTGAAAAACATGTCATGGTTTGATTGGTCCTATTTAATTTTCTTATGTGTTTGGGGTTACATTTTGTTTTCCAGATTCTACTACTCCTAAGTGAATTTACAAGTGCCCCTACACAAAAGAATGAGATAAAGAATAAGTCCTAGACTTCCTAAGAAATTAAATTAAGTTTCTCTAGCAAAGTCTAGAAGCAGTTGGTATTGTACAAATTATCCTGCATATTTGTATTTGGTAGCAGTTTCTATATAATTTTTGCAAACAAAATAATAGTAGGAAATAAATGCATCTAAACCATTATGTGAAAATTATAGCTGATGTTTTATATCAAGAGAATTAATGTATTGAGCCATTATAATTCCTCATAAACTAAGGATAGAAAAACATCTGAACAGACTGATTTTGTGTTCTATATTTCAAAACATTATTTTCTCCCACCTTTGCACTCATAGACTTCTCCCTTATCCATATACTTACACACCCGAAGATCCATTGACTGAGCTAACATTACAATATAATTTGTTATAAAAATTAAAATGTTGTTTTAATATTTATGTTTTATGTGTTTTAGAGTATCTAATTTATTGGCAGAACATGTCTCGCTGGGCTCTGGGGCCTACAGATCAGTAGGTGAATGGCTAGAAGCAATCAAAATGGGCCGGTATACAGAGATTTTCATGGAAAATGGATACAGTTCAATGGACGCTGTGGCTCAGGTGACCTTGGAGTGAGTAATTTTTCTGATAATTTTTACATAATTGCTGGGGCGAGAAAATGTGTTCAGAAACCAATCTGGATGAGGTCAAGGGAAATCAATTAACTCTTGCCCGTGTGCGGCAGCTTTCAAAGAACCTCTACCTTTTAGCCTGTATTGTTAACAACTGCATGGTTAATGCTACTTGCGGCCAGTATCTTTGCCTCTTTGCTTTAAACAAACAGCATTTGAATATTTGAATTATTTGGAATAACAGTTCTTTGGCAAAATACTGGTATTTTATGTTGTGGAAAAGATGTTTTCTTGACAAAATTTTTATACTGGTACCTGTGTTATATGACTGTAAATACAAAACAAATGTAAGCACAATTGGTCTGACCAGTCCTACATAACAAAACATCCTTAAATTTCAGCTGTGATGAACACCCAGGAAACAGCAGCCTAAACTAAGCCTCTCGGGCAGGGACCTCATGAAATCTCTAAGTGGTGCACCTTATAGTCTTGCAATCCAAGCATATATTGGGTCCTGCCTCTGATTTGTTATTTGGTACAGTCTCAGTGGAACCAATTGTGCCCTTTTCTGTTTGCACGTTTAAGATGAAATTTATCAAATCTTATTGAATAAAAATCACTAGAGTTAAATATGAAATTCTTTAAGGTTGTAAGTTGTTTGTATTTTATTATATACTCTGTATGTGTAATTATTTTAGCCTAATATTTGTTATTTGTGAAAATGAACTGTCATTATGGTGGTTCCATCTAGATTACATAAACATGAATGATGTTTTAACCTGTGAATATAATGATAAATTACTTCAAAGGACCTGCAGATTCAAAGGTTAAAATATTGTTATAAGGATTAGAACATGGTAGAACATTCTAAAGCGGTAAGCCACAGTCCATATTCCATTACTTCACAAAATATGAGCAGTTCTCTTTCACCATTTGTATTATCCTGGCATGCTCTGATTCATTGAATCCACTGCACATCCACAAAAAAGGTAACAGGGTACTATCATTTATCACCGGTTAATATCACATTCTCAACATTTCTCTTCCGTTATACCTATAACTGAAAGGACCGAAAACCACCACTCAGCTTGCTCTCCTAATTTACTGAATCTCATTCTCACTGTCACCGCTAAATCATATCTATTCGATCACACATTTTGTTGGCCCATTATTTCTTTGGACACTCAAAGAGCTCATTTGTGCTATATTTAAAATAGTAAACAAAATTTTACTGATAATTTTAAACTATTTTTACATGATTGCTATTTAATTTTTCAGTAAAAATGGTCATTTTTATTTATTAAAGTCATTTGTCATTTTATATTAAAATGATACTGTAGGTATTTCTTCTACCCAATGTCAGATTACTTGTAAATATATAATAAAATTATTTGCATTAAACAGTGTCTCTTTTTTTATTTAAATAGCACATACACATATATATTTACATCTACTAGTATTTAGCTTCTGCCTTCACAGAATAGTTATAACCACAAATAATGGGTTTTGCACTATCTGTTTTACTATGACTCATTGGGGCTCCAAAATACTAGAATTGTGTGTAATATTTTAGCATTATGGTTTCACATTTTCTTATTTCTTTTCATTCTTTTCTTTTTGCATTCCTAGCCCCAAACTCTCTTCATTTGGTTTGTTTCTTTCGAGCCCAGAGAGCCTATTCTATCTCCTATAATGGTTCTCCACTTCACGTGTTTTCTCCAGTAACTTTTGACTGGTGAATTTTTCTCTGCTTGGTTCAGTTTCTTCTCTGTATCTCTTTTACTTTGGCAGCTTCTTGCGTCTTGCTGTAGTGCCTCCGTCAGAGTTTTGTGTTGTAATTCATTTCCTCTGAGCAGGAGAGGAAGGTGGAACCTTCCAGTGCAGGGAATGTGGCCCTCGCGGGTCCGCAGCTTCCGAGCCGGGGCCATGAGAATGCGTTCCCGTCACATTCCTTACGAGGAACTGGGCCGCTGAAGGTTAACTAGCGCCAGCCCACCCGGTTTCTTGGAGAGTCCAGCACCTCAGACTGTATGTCCTCTTGTTTATTGTGTTTTTGACCACAGTTTTTCCTATTTGGTAAGAGTATATTTATCAAATACTATGGTAAATAACTCACAAAATAGTAATCAGTTGCTTCTTTGGTCAGAAATATAAAGTATACAGAAAAGATTATCTGTGAATTCTGCTTGTCCTTCACCAAAAAAATATCAGTCATTATTAATGACTTTTGGCAAAGGAACTGGAATGCCAGCTGAAACAAAAAACAAGCTTTTAAAACACTTTGATAATGATTTTTTACACGCGGTCTTTACCCATATCTAAATATTAATTTTATGATTCATGTATAATATTATAATAAAATGCTATCGCCAGTGTTATTGCCAGAATAGAAACTGAGAACTGGAAGAATATAGTCACACTTGTAATAAATGCTTAGAAAAAATGTGAAAGTCACCGATATAAAGCAAAAGATCAAATTGCCATATACCTAATTTAGAAAATACCTATAATTCATGCTATCAAATTTGTTCTCATAGTGGGTTTAGAAAAAGAAGAGTAAACGATTAGGTTTTTAAAACCACGCACTTAAGTAAAAATTTTCTTCGTAAAGGTTTAATTTTATTTGATTATGAATTTTTTTGCCAACACATGCAAATATGACTGAGTGTGGAAAGGAAATAATAAAACCCGTTGGGATCCTAGAGCCAAGGCGTGTGCGGGGGAGCGGCTCTCAGCCAGATGCCCCGCCTGCGGCCCCGGGGGCCCTGGGCAGTCGGCAGCGCTCACCCTGGAGCAGCTGCAGGAGCCGCACCGCCTGCGCCCTGGGGCCCGCAGCGAGCTCCTTCACGGGGGTGAGCTGGAGGTGAGTTGCGCAGCGAATCCAGAGATTGGACTTGAGGGCAGTATTACAGTTGTTTGTTAAACTTCTTGTCAGACCTGTATTATCAACACTGGTCATTCAGAAAGTGATTGCAATCCAATGAATTTAAGCATTATACCGATGGTGCTTCAGCGGAAGGTGCTCCTGTTAATACCATTCATGAAGATGGGGTCGTAAACTACTAAAATGAAAACTCCCTAAATCCCGAGCCAGGATTTGTGCACACTAATTCAAATAGATTTCTTAACTTTTCGATACAGTCATCGTGCTAATTTTATACAGTTAACGTGCCCATGAGAATACTTACTATCCTATTTGTTCCACGTAATTAAGCCAGAACTTCCAGTCCAACCCTCACGATGCCTCGTCCACTGAAGATCATGACCAGGCCGTGGTGAGCCTTCTCCTGCCAAAAGTAAAAATATCTGTCTTGTGCAATAGACCTGTAAGTGGTTCTCAGGGTTCCTCTAAAGAACCGGAACATTCCAGACGTACAAGTGCAGGACACAAGGAGCAACACTGAATCCGGGGATACTCCTCAGTCTCTCCTCCCTCCCCCTGTCCGGCCAGTGCTGGGGGCTAAGTACCAGGGAAATGGCTACAAGTGTGTAGAGCAGAAGCGGGAAGAATGAGGGGCCCACCCACAGTGGACACGTGAAGTCCCGAGTAGTCAAGAGGTGCTCCCCATGGCGAGGCCCCCCATTGCCTCACCCCTCATCCCGCCCCTTCGCGTCCTCGCGCTCTCCCTGTTTACATCATGAGTGACACTGGGACAAAGCCGCACTGGCTGGTCATTGGAGTGGCGGCTTTTCCCAAACTAGCCCCGCTTTGTTGGCACAGCCCAAACTATTTTCACGTAACAGTGCTATTCCCGCCACGTTTACATTTATATAAGCTTATGCAAAAATGTAGTTTTTATCATTAGAATTGGCTTTGGTATTAAGATTCCACGTGGTCATGATAAAGTTAGCATGATATTTATAAAGGTAATATACTTAAAACCTTGCCTAGCTATAACATTTTCTATACAGAAAAATGAGATGAGTAAAATAGAATATCATGCATTGTTTCTAAATGTTTTTCAAAATTTTTTGAACTAGAGCATCAACTTTACCAATAAATGTAAAATACTTTAATTTTTATCAAATTTCTCTCACATTTTTACTGCTAAATTGATCATTTAATGTGTACTTTGAGGAGTAAAATGGGAATTGTTAGAAATTACAAAAGTGTGAGGCAAAACTACTTAAAAGAAAATAATACATTTAACAATATAGAGATAAAGTTATTTAACCTTTACTGGAAACATTTTTCTAATACAATATTCATTCTCATTTGCAGTATTGTTACAAATATGAGAAAGCACTGACCAGAGTCTGTCTTGTGTTATTTTCAGAGAAGGCAGTTCTGTTTACCCACAATACAATAGTAAGTCAAAACAGTGGAAATCAGTTAGACGAAGCAACCAAGAGGTGGAATACGGAAAAAACACAGACACCTACAAACATGCATAAACACATGTACACACACTTCAAATTAAGGTTTTGGTGTATATGAAAAACCCGTGCATTTTTTAGTGGGAAACCTATACTTTTTTTTTTTAAGGTCTTTCAGAATAAACTATAATGGTTATACTCAAAAACTCATTCCTAATATTTGGATTAACCCTATGAATTGTGTAACTTCAGTACATATATTACATCAGTACTTTTGAACCTGGGGTCTATACAGCATATGATCAAACGCATTTTAGAACTTTATTTCAAATCCTGGCTATTTAAATTCTCCAGTCGGTATTGATTGTTTTAGGTTAAGAAATGTTAGTTCCCTTTTCCTGACTTAGGCCCAGAGTATGCTAGCGAGCACCCATGAACACCCACCTCTGCAAAACTCTGCATGATTCATACGTTACATGTGGAAACACGAGAAGACTATTTAGCTCATAGCTGAAATGTCCATGCGGTAGAGGTTGGGGAACCACAGCCTCAGACAAAGAAGTGTGTGCTCAGTGTCCTTCATTAACTGTCTTCTTTCTTTGAGAACTTTGGATATTTGATGTATGTCTACAGAGTTCTCATTTTACAGATGAATAAATAATTACAAGCAATTTGAAGTACTTTGCTCAATATCATATCTGAGAATACTGAGAAGTTAAAGGAATATGAACTTGGTGTCAGGTTCCTCGTTTGATTCCTGCTCTGCCACCCCTGGCTGTGTTACCTCGCCAACTAATTTAGAATCCCTAAGACTTTGTTTCCTCATTCATAAAAGGAGATTACCAAATATTTATTTCATAGGGATGAATGTTTTTCAAACATACAGAAATAAGGCATCTTAACTGTCACCTATTATTTTTATATTTGGTGCAGTGGTTCTGAACCAGGGGAGATTTTGCCACTTAGGGGACATATGACAATATCTGGGGACATTTTATCTTGTCACAAAAAAATGGCCAGAGGTGGGACATCCATTCTGGCATTTCACAGAGAGAGGCCAGGGATGCACCAGATAGCCCTACACAAAGAACTGTCCAGCCTAATGCTAAGCAGGGGCAAGGCTGAGAAACTCTGATTTAATTTAAAAGAAACAAGATTAAACTGAAACCACTTTTATTTCTGTGTGAGTATAACTAGCTATTTCATAACTAACTAGTGATTTTGTTTCAAAGCGAATTTTTACTGTTTAGTTTTGCTGATGATCGTCTTCCATGCCTTCCATTATTATTATTCTTATATTGTACTCTGGTATATTGTAGCTATGAGAATTTCTAAGTTTAATGTTTAATAGTCACATTCTAAGAAATGTGTTTCCACCATAAGTATTTTTTTTCTTTTTTTAGCTGCTTGCCATTTCCTAAATCTCTCATAAGAAAAAGAAAAAAGAAGAAAAAAAACCTATAAAGAGAAAAAGAAACCCAAGACATTATTTAAATAAACAATTATTTCCAATACTAATGCATATGGGGCCTAAGTACCCATTTACTTAAATTCTATCCTCTGATAACTAAGAAATGTTTTTTAGTTTCCAGGACTATTCACTTTTATATATAATTATTCTAATGTCATTGTATCCAATTTCATAAACTTCTAAGACAATCTGAAATGAATACATGGACTGAATGCAAACATATTCTAGCATAGTGTGTTCTATAAAGTAATTATCTAAGAAACCTAACATGACAACTTTGTTATTTAAAAATGTTGAATTGCTCATGGTCATTTTTTCTTATAATTAATGTTATCATTTGCCAAACATACATGAGTCATTATAGTTGCCAAATATATACTTGAAGGTGATAGAATTCCTAATATCCCAAGAAATAACATTTTAAAACCATGGGCACTGGCCTTGAGCTCCATAATATGCTGTTAGTTTTGAAATCTAACCATTTATAATTTTCTTTTGGATAATAAACTTGTTTCAAAGAAACAGAATGGAAGTAACTTGGTTGAAAAGACTTTCTGAGAGTGTATAATCTTCAGAATGCTCTAAATGCCTAGATGTTGTTTAGCAAAGGAATAAAGCTCTGGTACTTTGGATTCCAAGCAAAAAATAAAATATTTGGAAGTTTTATAAAAGCAATGTAGTGGTGACTATATTCTAAATATATCTGTTATATAAAATGATTGTACTGACTGAGTCATTTGAAGAGTTTAGTCTTCAATTACTTAGCTTTGATTTTTTGAAAGTATATTTTATGCTTACTGCTTTTAGCAAAAAAAGGTCTTATTCCTGTTATAGGTACACATTTTCAAAACTGCTCTATGAAACTGTACCTGTAAATGTACATATTTGTTGGTAAACGTGCAAATTTGGGTTTTTTTCCCACCACTCTGTGCCTCCAACACAATGTTGTCTAAAAAGGGGGCAAACATATATTACATCAGTCCTCATTAGAAATAGTTCTTGGCCGGCAAATAGGTCTTCGAAGTACGATTTTGGAGCCTGCCTTTGAAAATCGGACCCTGTATGTCTAAATTGGGCCTGTGATCAAGTCAGTGTCTGCAGAGTGTTTACCTCTGTGCCAGCGTGAGATAGGGAGGTGTGCTGCAAATCGAGTCAATACATACACCCAATGTGTGCTTTCTTCATGCAGGGATTTGAGACGCCTTGGAGTGACTCTTGTCGGTCACCAGAAGAAGATCATGAACAGCCTTCAAGAAATGAAGGTGCAGCTGGTCAATGGGATGGTGCCATTGTAACTACACTGTAATGTCACTCCGTTGAATGAATGATTCTGCACTTTGTAAACAAGCCCTGAGATTTGTTTTAACAAAAAAGGGGGGGG